TGCAGATGCGACTGTTAGTTATTTGTCTCATATGCCACGCGCCACTACCCCGCCATTCAGTATATCCGTAAACCATAGGGGAGTAGAACGTACAGATCTTCTTGCTGGCGCTTCCAATTGGCCGGTCATTGTTATCCAAAACAATGCAGACCTCATCCATTAGACGGACCTGCTCTTCATCGTAACCCTCAAGCTCGCTACCGCGCGCAGTGTTTGTTTGGCTGGTGGGGAGGATTTCACGGGCGAGAGATGTGTCGACCTCGGGGAAGAGAGTGGCAACATTGTCCACCGTAATCTCAGGCGGACTTGTGATGGTCGTGGTTGCGGTCATTTTGGCCAAAAAATGGAAGTTGAAAGAAAGTAATGAATCCCAACAGACAAAAAATCGCAGGAAATGCGCGGCGTTAAGTCAAAGGCGGCAACGATCGGCAAAATTGCGTCTCTCCGTTGTTTGCCTTCATCAGGAAATTCCAATCTCGGAAGGCAACTTCTGGTTGATACACTCTACCAAGAACCTTGGAACTACCAATAGGATTACGCAAAGTATGAATATAATGATCAAAATTGCATTCAAGGCTAGACCTATCGATAAGCGAATATCAGAAGCCGCATCGGTTCACACTACCTAGTCATCATGGACGTCAAGATAACACCTTGATCACTTCAGTTCAAGGAGACTGGTCAACTTCTCCAATTCCGCAACTTCCTCGGGTCCCAAAAGGCCCAACTTCTCCCTCCGAGTTGGCGCATTCGGATCAAATATAGGCTTCTCAGCGAGCGAAGTCACCCGTGTGCCGTGTCTAGGTTGGGATCCCTCATAATCCCAGCTGGCGTTATGGATCGTGATGCTATTGAAGAATAAGCTTCAAATTCAAGAGATTTATTAGAGTATTGACTAACCGGTTGTCCCACAATGCACTCGTGCGTGGACTCCACTTAAACCGAACCTGGATATCAGGGTTCTTCTCATAAACGTCGTATAGATATCCCAGAATCACATCACTCTCGGCCTTGTCAAGACCAACGATTCGGTCTGTCATCGCCCGGTTCACCCACAGTGCCTTCCAGCCCGTAGCTGGGTGAACACGGACAATTGGGTGCTCGCGCTCTATATGTTGAGGGCCTGCTTCCGGGTTCTTACGATCGAGATATGGGTGAGCTGAGCGGTAGATGGCAGTCCTTCCATCGATCAGCTTGCGGAATAAAGGTGATAGCTTCTCGTATGCCGCGTATCCACTCGCCCACAGGGTATCGCCTCCGACTGTTGGTACGGTATCGTTATGGAGATGGGTCACACCAGCGGGCTGTTTCTCGTGCACAAGATCGCTATGCCATCGAGACGCTCCTCCCGGCCGACGGAAACTCGCTGGTCTCTCTGTTTCCTGCAATGCTGGCCACATTACACTCACGCCGGGGATGCCAGGGACATGGGGCACTTGAGGCTAAAAAAAAAGAGAAACACAGTTGGTGATTGGCACATGGATTTGCTGGGTTGAGCAAAACATACATGAATCTCAACCTCTCCGAACCACTCTCCCAGTTTCTTCTGTTGTTGAGGAGTGATATCCTGGTCCCGGAAGAAGACAACGCTTCGTTCGGCAATCAATAAGCCTAGCTCATCCTTCTGCTGGTCTGTCAAATCCTTCAGCTGCAACCCAACTATTTCAGTTCCGATGTGTCTAGTCAACGGAATCACTTCCTTGGCTGCGGATAGAAGTGCTTTCTTCTCGGGATCGGCTCGGCTGCCGGGGTCTACATGGACGCGATCATAGTCCCGCACGTTGTAAACATCGTCAAGATAGAGAGGACGAGACGGCCGGTACGGGTAGCCGTCACTGAGATCAACCCCAGCCTTTTCTAAGCGTTCTCGTGCAGGTCCAGGAAGACCGAGGGTGTCCTTCTTGGGCACTGCGACGTCGACGATACGTGAATCAATTGGAGCGGGAGCCATGACAATAGATAGTCTTTGGGACTTTGTAATTCTTGTGAGTTCTAATCGATACCAAGGCTGTACTATATACATAATTTAGAAATGTCGATTCTTTGATTGATCAACGTTGTAACGTTGTACTGCCCAGGATTTGAGCACATCATCGTCATCACCCATTACGCCTTTTGTGGGCCACGAATGTCACTTTTAGTTATCTCCGGTTGTCATTCTCATACCCCTCTTTCAGAATTCGATGTAAATTGTCCAATCTATACTTGTTGTGTACATTAATTCCAAGCGGGGGAACCCCCGATGTCACAATCCACGATCAAAATCACGAGGATTCCTAATATCTGATTCTCTGCCGGTTTTTCCGGTAAGTATTGCGATATATCAACCCATATTGTCGTTTGGAGGGGCCATAAGTGCGGGAATAATCCACGTAGACTCGGATAGGTAAACTATCTCCTTGCTTTTTTTCAATTCTGTGAAAATCATCATGAGTGATTCTGTTCGAGTTGCTGTTATCGGGGCTGGTATCAGTGGAGTGGTCACTGCTGGCCATCTTCTGGCTGCTGGAATTCAGGTGACTGTTTTCGAGAGAAACAATGCAAGTGGTGGAGTGTGGTAAGATCGTGAATCGTCTTTTTTTGATCTGAAATAATGGACTGAAACTTTGTAGGCTTTATGACAAGCGTGCTCCGATTGAAGCCCAGTACCCATCACCAAGACCATCTGCTTCACAGGAATATGTGAAAGATGCGAGGGAAGGCAATGAAAGAAAGATCTTGCTTCATGCACCTCCAGGGTAAGTTTCAGTATCTCTTCTTTTCTTTTTGTTTTTAACATGGCAGTTGTACTCACGATTACCTAGACCTTGTTATGAAAGTCTTACCAATAATGTCTCGACTCCTTTATTACAAACGAAACTCAACGCATGGCCAGAAGGGACTGGTCCTTTTGTGAAGCATCATGTACTCAAGGATTATATCCAAGATACGTCGAAGAAGGCCGGCGTTGATGATATAACCAAGTTTGGCGCCCGAGTCACCCGAGTTCATAAGGACGGGTCAATATGGACAGTTCACTGGAGTACTTTGAGCGAAGGCCAAGATCCCATTGAGAATGAGGAGTCTGCAGTAAGTTTTCATCTCTATAAAGGGTTTAGTTTTCATTTTTATTTTACGAAGTGGTTTTGACTGGATTATAGACGTTTGACTCAGTTATTGTTGCCTCGGGTCATTATCATACACCTCTCGTCCCGAATATTCGGGGTCTACCCGAAGCAAAAGCGCAATGGCCCGAGAAGATCTTCCATTCAAAGTCTTTCCGAAGGTCAGAAGGATTCAAGGGAAAGGCAAGAGTGACCGCATTCTAGTATTGAGTGGCACTGGGCTAACTAAACTACAGAATGTACTATTGCTGGGTGGAGGCGTCTCTTCCCTCGACATAGCCACTGAAATCAGTGGAACTGCAGACCACGTGTATCAAAGCACTCGAAATGGCGCCTTTGATCTGCCCGAGAGTGCACTTCCAAAGAACGCCTCGAGAATTGCCGAGGTTGAAGCATTCGAACCTTCTACATCGACATCCCAAAACGCCGAGCATTTACCTTTAACCGTACATCTCAAATCCGGAGAGACTTTGCACGATATAGACACAATTATTCTTTGTACAGGATACCAAATGGCACTGCCATTCCTGGACGAATATAATGACTACAGTGGGTCTGCCGCCGAGGCAAATGACAAGGTGCTTGTCACAGATGGTACTCAAGTCCATAACTTGCATCAAGACATTTTCTACATCCCAGATCCCACGCTCGCATTTGTGGGCATTCCTTTCTATACCGCGACTTTCTCTTTATTCGAGTTCCAAGCTATCGCGGTGGCAGCCTTCCTGTCTGGTGTTGCGAAGCTTCCATCTACTCCGAGTCTCCGCGCGGAATATGAGAATCGCGTGAAAGAGAAGGGTCTTGGGCGGAGTTTCCATTCACTCAAGGATCAAGAGCAACCGTATGTTGTGGAATTAATTAAATGGGTCAATACTGGAAGATCTGAGCGTGGTTTGCCTCCGATTGAGGGCCATACCCAGACCTGGATTACAGAGAGAGCGGCTTTGAGCGAAAGACTTAAGTTGATTCTGGCTGGGAAGCTTTCTCGGGCAGATGTTCTCAAAAGCCCATTGGAGGTGGGAGTGACTGCGTGAGGTATCTGAGGGGATAGATATTGAATGAATATATTGTAAAAACCACACCGTTGTAGTCTTCAATCATCTCGCGTGTTTGAAACCTAGTCAATTGTCATACTAGCCGCCATGGGCACCGGCTTCCATTAGGCACTACGCTCTCTTGCTGAGCAATCATTCGGACCTGACACCATTCGCATATGTGTATTCAGGACATCCCGATTACGGAGTTATTGGTCAGCAGTGAAGCCTGGTATAAGTGATCCTATGCTAATATCGATACTAAAGGAAATCTGTCGCGCATCGCCCCAGTTGAAACAATATCCTGCGCTCGTACATTAGAAAGACCAAATCTATTTGTTAAAAGGAAGCTTATATGTAATACCACATATTCCCAATCAGATATGAAAAGATGTTTTATTTTGAAGGGGTCCTCCCGTCAGGTGTATGACGAGCTTCACTACACGGATGGTGAGTTTCTAGCGTGGTATGGCAACATCAACACAAATCATCCCCAAAGTCGGCAAAGTTCCGATTTGATTATGTATCTCACACGTGTTTGGAGGATTATGTTGAAAATACTTGCAGGAATTGCGCGAACAAGTCGCCCGGTCATTCGACCTGCTAATGTAGATTATCCACTCAGTGCGGAGTATAACGTTGGAAACATGAAGCATGATTCACTCAGGTTTAAGCCAGACATGGCCTCCACTTTTATGCTGATAAGAGCTGTTACAGAACTGAGCGCTAGGATGACCTCGCCAAGTTAGCATGTCCCTAGTATTGATCGGCAGTTAGACTTGATCGCTTGCCTACGCTATAAGAATGTTCCGAGGGCTCTGGGCTTCAATCTTTTCTTTCTCATCATTGCCACGACATCATCATGTCGCTAAAATCCCCAGCCGAGGCGGATGTCGATTCGGCGACGCAGATAGTTCAGAAACAACCCAAGCGTAAATGGGTCAGCTACATTTGGGACACATTTGACAAGTCACCAGAGGAGCGTCGCTTGCTTTTCAAATTGGATTCGGCCATCCTAACGTTTGCATCGTTGGGTAAGTTCAATTAAACTATTCCTCCCGGATAATATTAAACAGTTATAGGGTATTTTATCAAGTATCTGGATCAAATCAATATCAACAATGCATTTGTCTCTGGAATGTACGGTACCATATGCATGTTCGAATATCGAGAGTTTGATATTGATAACTTATAGGAAGGAAGACTTGGGCATGTACGGCAATGAACTTAACTACATGCAGACATGTTGGACTATCGGCTACGTTATTGGAGAAATTCCTAGCAATATACTCCTCACTCGTATCAAGCCGCGATATTGGATTCCAGCTATGGAGGTAAGAGTTTTTGCATTTTTTACACAAGAGCTATATGCTTACACTCTAATAGCTTCTCTGGACAGTTCTCACAATGTCCTTGTCCCGGTGTAACACGCCTACTCAGTTCTATGTTCTTAGATTCTTCGTTGGTACGCAAGGACAGCCTATTAAGAACTCACTCTACTATAGTGGGTTATTAACATTGTCCTACTACAGGCCTCGCTGAAAGTACTTTCTATCCGGGAATGCAATATATCATCGGTTCTTGGTACCGGAAAGACGAGTTGGCAAAACGATCGTGCATTTTCCACACGAGCAGCGGAATTGCCAGTATGTTTTCTGGTTATCTGATGGACGCGGTTTACCACCTAGGAGGACAAGGAGGCTTCAAGGGCTGGCAATGGTAAAAGAAATGGCAGAGTCTCGGCACCCCATATGCTAACTAATGCTTAGGCTGTTTATTATCGATGGGGTCATTTCCCTGCCCGTGGCCATTAGTGGATTCTTTATCCTTCCCGATGTGCCTGAGATCTCTAATCCGTGGTATTTGAGCAAAAAGGCAAGATTTACTATTTCAAACCCCTGCCTTCTATGCATATATTAACATTGAAGTAGGAGGTCAATCTCGCCCAAACGCGAATGAAATTAGAAGGGAGACAGAACAGAAAGCCATACACAAAGTCAAAGCTGAAGAAAATCTTCACCTCGTGGCACATCTACCTTCTGACCTTGCTTTACATGTGAGTTGAATACCTAAGTAATTTAGAACGAAAATACTCATCCGTCTTAGATGTTTCAACAATGGTGCTGCTGGAAGTCAGCCTATCTTCCAACAGTCAGTAATATCTAGACATCACCGTCGGTAAACTTACTCTGACACCTGGCAGGTTCCTCAAAAACTCAAAAGATCCTGTATATTCAATCAGCCAGATCAATTCGATACCAACCACCACCCCAGCGGTTCAGGTCGTGACAACCCTCGCTTACGCATGGATCTCGGATACTATCCTGGACGGCAGCCGTTGGCCCCCAGTCATCTTCGGTGCTGTGAGTATAACACTCCGTAAGGAAATATAGAAAAGTTTTAACTCTTTGCTAGTGCGTCAACATCATAAGTTACGTCTCGCTCGCAGTTTGGGATATTCCGATAGGATGGAAATGGACTTGTTACATTATCAGCGGGGCTGGATATGGACTGAGTGGTCTGTTAATGGCGTAAGTTTCACAAATTCCCGAGGCTATCAACGTGCAAATACCCTAACAAAATTACCACAGATGGGCGCATGAGATATGCTCTGAAGATAACGAGGAGCGGTCCTTGGTCATCGGAAGCATGAACGAAATGGCTTATGTGTTCCAAGCCTGGCTGCCTCTTGTTGTATGGCAGCAGGTCGATGGGCCAGAATACCGAAAGGGCTTCATTACTGTCACCGTTCTGTCTGTTATTTTGATTATCGGTACTTTCGTTGTTCGATTCCTTCACAAAAGAGAGAAACTGCGAAAAGGGTAAGTATCTTTATGTCTTTTGGGTTCGTGTCTATTGCTAACTGAAATGATGGTGTGTAGGAATCAGACATACAAGGCCGAGATGGAAGAAAGTTCCTCGGATTCTCAAGAAACGACCACTACTGAGACAAAGCCTGTCAAGGCTTGAGATAGATACAGTTGATTCGGATTCGTGCTTCCCGAAAGATGGATATATATATAAAAAAATGGAGAATAGAACGACAGACAGATCCAGCGGGCAAAAAAAAAAGAAAAAGTCCAAGATCTCTCGATTTACCGAAAATATTTATACATTTCGAATAGCGAAATAAAATACAAACTAGTCTATAATATATGACGCCGAGTTTTGATCAGCCCAGTATTAAGCTAGCAGCGGTCGTTCTTTTCTTTCCCCAACCCGTTTTCACAGGTGCATCAGACATGTTCTTAGTGCATTTCTTTGTTGTAAAAGAATTATATAGTCTGTGCTCCGTACAGGGTATAGAACTACCATGTGCAGTGTCCGAACTATTTAGTGTGACGTGTCGTAGTAACGAGTGTGATGTGTGATTGAGCGATACCCATGCCAATATCCATGACGCAAGACACCCAATCGGACACCCAGTTCTTCCAAGATCTTAATACAAAATCCCAGTACGGAGTAATTCAACCCCATATTTTGTAGACTTCCGATGAGATTTACAGATCTGACCGATAATCGGAATTATCCTTGCATATCCCCCCGATACTACTCCGTATCATAGATCCTAAGCCAGCAGAGATGAGAATACCACATTACAAGCAAACTTGGCAGATACCCAGGGTCTTCTAATGATCAAATTTAGACCCAGGGGTAGATTATATGAATATACAAATGTACGAATAAATCGATAGGTCAGGCTAGGCACCCGTGTGCCGATTGCAAAGCGTTGGCAGTATGGAGTAGTGTTAGTGGCGCTATACTAGTGATGGGATTAACTGGGCACATTCCCCGGATGGAGTACGAGGTAAGAGCGACAAAATTGCAGGACTGTGATAGCCCTGTGGAAATTAGGAGAGCCCCGTCACAAAAACATTGAGTGGGACAAGGATCCCTTTGTTTCCTATTCCTTGCCTCTTACTCCGTAGTTCATTGCGGGTTCGGCGCACAGTACGGAGTATGTACTACATAGGTATACTCTGTAGAGATCGGCATTGAGTCTTTTAGGTAATATTGTCGAGCTTGTGCGCTTCTTTTTTATTTTTCTCTTCTTTTTTTAGTTGAGGGTCATAGCTCCATGAAAATCATACGGATCTGCAAAATTGAGAGTCAGAGCAATATTGTGCCGAGACAGCTTTCCATCAGCTATATTGACCTACGGAGTACTCCGTAGTCAATGTATTAATGTATTAATGTATCAATGTACATGTACATGTACGTGTACCTTTTTTTTAAAAATTTTTTATTGCTTAATACGATCATCACCTCTTCCGGGACAAATAGGAAGTCACCGATAGTGTAAGTGCAAACGCCAGCACCACAGAGAGCCTATCGTCTTGGATAATATGACTGGATTTTCGGGCCCACTTGTCAAAAAAAAAAAAAAAAAAAAAAAGCCTCAGGGGTAAGGGTCAAATCAGCTGGTTCGGAGTACCTACACCCTCCTATATTGGGCATCTATTCGGATGTGGTTTGTGATCACGGACCATTTTCCAGATAGGCGAACAGACGCGATGTCTCCTGCGCGGCTGCACCGAAGGCACAATTCCAAATGGTCGAGTCTTGTCTTTCGTCTCCACTTAATATGACTAGCTTCAAGAAGTAGTGGAGATAGCGGGGTGAAATTGAGGATCTTTGGACAATAATATGTTTAAAGGGCAATTGAACATACGAGAATGGATTACCACTATATTTTTTTTTCCCGTGATAGTGTGACTGAGCAAGGATTAATAGATTGCAGGAAGAGGCCAGGGCTGGGGAAGTGAGACATACCCTATGATGCCTGGGAGAGACCCTTTGGATTCTCGCTTTTTTTTTCGGGATTTGTAAATTCAGAGAAGAAACGAGTAATGGCGTTCATAAGAGCACTAAGAGAGTTAGAGTTGTTTCACTTGCTTCAAAGATCGACTGAATGTCGAAGATGCCTACTGATTTTAGCGTGTGATTCGGCGTTCTTAGGTGGAGCGCGGCAAGAGTCGAGATCCAACGGGCCTCGGGGAGTCGGAGAAGGGGGCAGAAGGGGGGGGGGGAGTTGTTGAGTCGGAGGACTTCCCTTGAACTTCCCTTGGACTTCCTGTGAATTTCTCTTCTTTGGAAGTGGAAATTAGCGCAATTTCCACGCAGAACCATGTCCTCTTGCTTTAGTCGCTGTTGGTCTAAAATTAACCTGCATCCATAACCATTCAGACATATAGGTATGTTGTATTTAAAGTCTCTGGTCTTCAGTCAAGTCCCTGTTTTTTAAAGACCAGGTCGATGTTGATTAACCTACGTAGAAGTGCGGTGATATTGGATGTTAGTACTCCGTACTCCGTACATAACCGACATTCTTGTTACCCGCGCGCCAGCTCATGCGGTTGCATGCAAATGATATCACATTCGAAATGGCACATATGTACGAGGTAATATATCAAGATATAGCAAAATAGAATGAATTGAAACGATGCGAAAAAAAAACAAAAAAAAAAACAAAAACAAAAAAGCAAAATGACCACCTGCAATACAGTAATTCAAAATTCCAACCAAAATGCATCGTATAATAATCCAACAACGCCAAGGAAATGAGACTTTATGCTATGTGAAAGACGTTAACTCCTGATAGGAATCGCATCTCATGAAGTCCTGTAAATCAAAGCAAATAAGAGCAAATTCAACGTGGCTCTGGCCAGCAGATCCCGTAATGGCAAAACCATGCAACCCATAAAAATCATAGCCAAAATGGATGATATACCCCTCCGATATGTATTTCGACCCATAGAATAGAATCAACTGTCTCTGTCATTAACTAGCTGAGCGGCGGTTGTTCGACACTCGTTGGCGCTGCCTGGGCATGAGCGAAGACGGCTCAGTGTTGCTGGTGGACTTGGCCACGTTGCGATGCTTGTCTACACAATCATGTCTATTTGCTCATATCAGCACACAGGTACACATTCAATGAGAATAAATATTCTAGGAGCTTACCTAGCCAAACTATCCTGGCGACTGAAACGCCGGTCGCAAGAGTCACAGCTGTACCTCCGAAGCCCGAGATGAACCTAGTGGCCTCATTAGTGGTTGTTTTTTGACCCTTTGGGTCTCCCTACTCACGGTATTCATGTGTCTTTTGAGATCCGAGCTTCGTCCAAATGTCTTGTGGCAGTCTTCGCACGGATGGTTGTGCTTCCATTCAGGGTTGTGCATCTTCTGGTGCTCCTTGCAGTTGGAGCGTCGGGTGAATTTGGCGCCACAAATTGGACATTCCAGGCCACTAGCAGATACCAGTCTGCCGTTTGAGGAGCCGCGCTCTCTTTTGCTTGAGTTTGTGGCACTATCGGTTCCTTCGGACGCTTGAGGTTGCGGCACGACTTGCCCAGTGTTGATGCTGTGTCCAGAGGATCTGTATCCAATATCCTCTCCCATCGCTCCGAGGTAGGAAACATTGTTGACTGGTAATAGGGGCACCGTCGAGGCAATGCACGCATCCGGAAACACACTCTGGCCCCATTGTCCTGCGGCTCCGTTCGCTACAGTGACCGGAGTAACATCCGATGGCGTTGTCGGCCCCGAGCAAGGAGTTTGCATCCAAATATCGGTCATTTGGGCTGGGAAGACGTTCTGGCCAGGGACAACCTCCATGGCAGAGTTGTAACTGGGGGATGCGCTCATCGCCGGGGGGCTGTAGAATCCCAGTGAAGTCTCCGAAGCATTGTTGACAAGTCCGCTGTAAACTGGTGGATAGCATGGTCCGCTGGAATAGTCGTCATAGGATAATTCGAAGGTGGGATTTGGCGCTCCAGGAACTAGTTGTGATGGCAGCGTAGGCGTGGGAGGGAAGACCCTCAGTTGACCGAATGCATTCTCGATTTCGCAGCGGGAGATGCCCAGACCAATAGGGGAGACCCCTCGTTGGGACGAGGTAGAAATGGGAGAAGAGTATACCGAAGAAGTTTCGCGAGACCGTATATCCTCTCTTCGCGGGGATGTGATTGAGGGATGAACTAAATTCCGATTCATGGTGTAGAGAAATCCAATAAAAGAATAAGAAGTGTATTCCCATCAAACCAACCAAAGGGCTAGTCTATATCAGAGTGAGCAAAGAATGGCGATAACCCCAAGTATATATAGTAAAGGCTTTTGAGTCAACAGCTTCGCTGTTGGTGATTGACAGCGGCAGCATACATCGGTGGCTGAGAGGAGGGTAGTGGACAGGGTATGAATTCATTGGAGAAGAACTTGCGCCGCATCGACACCGACAGATGTTGAAGATTCAACGACTTGACGCCGTAATAGACAAGGCAGATTCGGAGAAGAAAGGGTCTGTAATTGCGGTGGAAGAGAAAATCGGGTGGGGGGGCATTAAGGGCCGGGGGGGGGGGTCAAGGGTAATTCGGACAAGAGATCGATGACAGTCCAGGTCTGGCACATTTGCACAGGCTAGCCCCCCAAGAGAGATCAAGATATACTATGCCATAGCCATCTAGGGCAAATCATTACATTTCCAGCCTAGTTTCGGACACTTTTCTAGAGATCGTAATAACCCTGTAAGAACCTGCTACATAAGAAGTTTATGACGATGCATAACGGCGGCTGTTGGGTTTGTCTGGAAAAGGCTAACCATCCCTTTCATCACCGTTGGGCTGGTCTGCCCAACCGAGACGTGTTCCATGCAGGTAGTAGCCATACAGAAACATCAGCAGAGCCCGAGTCTCTGGGTCGGCTTGGCGAGGTGCATTGGTGTGTCGAGGGCCTGTTGACCATGAGCACAGCCCGCATATTGCTGAGACGGTGGGGAATGTATTTTTCTGACGAAACCCAGAATAGGAGAAGTTGATTAACTCACGAACACGACTAATTATCGTGACCCCAGTGGTATGCGGGCCAGCCCTTCCGAACCGTTCGATCCCTTTGGCTTCATGTATACCATAGCGCGGAAACTCCACATCGACTCCACAGGTAATTGACGCGCCCCCGGACAAACTGTAGCTCTCTATAAGATGTATCCGAATTCAACTTCACCGTGATCTATTTACTCGTTTTCTCCTCCTGTGGATCGAACATGAAATTGGTTGGAAAGGAGAACCAATCTTGAAACGCCAGGGACAGGGGGGGGGGAGGGGGAAAGCCAAAAAAAGAAAAAAGAAAGGAAAATTGGAGGAAATTAAAAAAGTGAACCCCGAAAAAGACCACCAAGCCTGTTTTGATTAGGCTGTTCATCGATATGGTTGTTCAGAATATCGAACGGTTTTTTGTTGTCAGGGTGTGGCTCGACGACTAGCGCCGAGTCCGGCCCTGCAGGGGGCGTGCGTGGCCTTAAGCGCCAGGGAAGTGGCCCCTCTACCGCGCCTTTTGAGCGCACATCAACTCCACAATCACAAGCCAAATCACCAGGAAAAACATGCTAATTTGTGTTTGGAGTTGTCACTTTTGCTGGGCAATGGCCTCCACTTGGGTTCGTAGTCGTTCTATCGTGTCGATCAAGTCCGCAAGCTGCGGTACTTGCCCGAACTGCCCCATGTCTAGCTCACGCACGGCTTGTTGATCCACACTGGGTGCCTTTCCAGGGCCTAGGCGATTTGTTTCAACTACGGAGGGGTGGTGTGGGTCCTGGCACCGGGGACCAGTCGGGTTTTCAGAAGCTCCTGGGCGTGTCGACATTGGAGGAAGCAGGCTGTTCTGTCGTTTGGAATTTAGCCATTTCGACTCGTACGCCCATATCAATGCAACAAACGGGAGATGAGTGGCTCGAAGCAAGACAATTCGTACACGGCGAACGGTTCCGGCAGAGAGAAAAAGCCGCATGGGGCGGATACAGAAGAGGGGAATAAGATTCTGCCCGAGTATATTAGCTTGGAAATATTCCAGAACATACAAAGAAAGATTCAATTCAAGGATCAGACGCTAACTGACCAGGGGTGGCATGAAGTATGTCAGTCGTCGAGAATTGCTGCTTTCCAGGACATAGATCGCCAATCTGATTGGCTGGTCAGTCCAAATGAAATTTTCCATGGGGCAGTGCCAAATTTCAGAAAGACAGGGATGTTTATGCTTGTATACTTACTGGAAAAGGTATTCTTCTCGAGCATGCCGCATCACCTATTACAAAAAGAAATTAATCGGCTGCCATGCAACTATAGTAGACGGTATTTACTTACCCCTTCAAGGCTCATGCTCATCAAACTAATCAAGGATGAGAGAATGAGAGTATTGGTCATGAGGGCGAAAGTAAGCCTGTAGGTCATTCCAGTCAGTATCTTTTGCATGTAAAAGAAACCGCTGCGTGGAAGTAGCTGTAACTCCCCGTGTGCTAATGACGCCCAAAAAAAAAGTCATGCAACTGAAGGTCACTTGCATATTGGAACGTGATCAAAAGCACATGCGACTTCTTTTTTCATGTGTGGCGCAATCAAATCAAGTCAGGGAACTCACATCAAGCCATAGCCGAAGATGGGGGAGATCTAAAAAAAATTAGCGTGTCAGTTCAACTTTACACGATAGCCAACCATTTTGTCAATATTCCGGGATGACTATTTGCTGCAGGACAGACGGTGCACACGACTTACTTCAGACGCGGTGTCCTATCATCCAATCAATTCAGCCACTGTCAGTGCATGTTCCAAAAAAAGAAAAAGAAGGAAAACGCACTAGTCCAAGAACACTCGATCTACCTCATGGTCAGTCAAAAAAAAAAAGAAAAAAGAAAAAAGAAAAAAGAAATGAGAGGGAAAAAAAAGGAGCGGTCATAACAGGGATTCTTTCACCGTACCCAAAGAACACTTTCACTAACAAATGTGACATAGTGCTGAGCGACAAGCGGTCACGCGCAAGCATAGTAAAGGTGGTCAAGAACCCTGGGAGCAATTCAGCGACTCAGCTCCGACATACTTCTCCTATCTAGGGCTGCATTGCTTAGCCACACTTACCAACATACAGTACTACCACCACTGGGAAAAACTTGAAGAATGCTTTCGTCTGAAACACATTGTCAATCAGCCTTGGGTCCTAAACCCACCTCCCACCTGGGCAAAAGGTCAGGAAAGCGCACCATCTCTTTCAATACTGGTATCTATTCATAGCCACAATCCGTCAGTCCTTTTCTAGAACGGTGATAGTTCATGCAGGATCCACTTACTAGACTGCCGAAGTATGAATTCAAGCTCACAAGTGAGCAGATCCTGTTCATTCCGTGTCAGCCCTGTCGCCCCAGCTAATTCCGCAAATAGCCATACCTCGGTACAAGAAATAGAGCCTCTAGAGATAGGATGTCGAATGAGAGCTCAATAATGGGGTTGTTGCCCTTCGCTAGCCCGATGATCCCTGTGGCGTCCTCATTAGTCGCACCATTGGCACGGATGACCTGCAACTAACGAGCCGCAAGGCAGGTTGAGCAGGTAGAGTGACTCACTCGTTATGACGAATGCCATTCCAACTCCAATTATGCTCAGGTTCCAAAGACTCCAGAAATCCATTTGATAGAAAACGACTCCGGCATCAATGATTCCACTCAATTCATCGTATGCAAAAGCGACGATCCACACATACATCACCGCTTCGAAAATGCCCACTGCCTCTTGTCTCCTTTCCACTAGGACTGCGTAGTAGAGAAAAAGGAAGGACATGAAGAATGCTGCTTCAAACATTTTCCGGTACAGAGGTACTCTCAGGCGTGAGTATGGATCAGACGTTCTAAGGAAGGAAATTGTCAGTACCTCCGTAAGACAATTTTTTGACCTGTCTAACCTTGTGTTAAAAATATGAGGTTTCTTGGTTGAATTCACTGTCAGGGAATCCCAGAAAACTATTTCACCCTTCCAAATACCATCGACCACCTTTTGAACAACTCGTTGACTCAGAAACCTCTTTGCATGGGCAATCGTTGCAATCTCCAGTGCATTCAAGCCAAAAAATTGGGAGTATCTCTCGGCGGCATAGATTTCCTCATGCCGTTGTGTATCTTGTGAGATTCCAGATAACTGAGTCTCCGTGGTCCTCTTGCCAAAAAGACGATAAAAAGAAGAGCTTGGCAAGAGAGGAGTGGCCTCACTTTCAGTTTGGCCTGTATCACCTTGGATAGATGCCAGGCCAGTATTGCCTGCTTCGGGTTCAATGATATTTGCCGAACCGCGCCGCGGTGTTGGTAGCTCTTCTAACAGAAACTCAATTGTCTCGCGCTGGTTCAGGTGACACAGGAATTGCCAGGCAACAAACTCGCAGGCTGCACCACGGCTCTCATTGAGGCCCCAGTCATCCTCGGTGGCAGTGGTGAAGTCCCATTTCAGAATCCTGGAGTTGTTAATCGACCAATCCAGTTCCAGGCGTCCTCTTTATGGTGAACTTACATCAGCGCTACAATGATGAAGGGATTGTGAGTATCATCTGCTAAAGCATGGACCAATTGTCTGAGACGGTGTCCTTGGGATCCGTACAGCATTTGCTCAAACGTGTAAGCCATATCACCCACGGCCATGCTAATGAAGCTACAAGGGGCTCCGTTAATTCTGCTTAATTAAAAAGGAAGCCAAGACTTACTTGAACAGCTTAGGAAGAACATCGAATAACGGTTCATCGGTTTCAATCACCGGAATTTCCGTATGATCCATGTGTGTATCCATCTGGAGTTCTACTTCGATTAGCGGGTCTCCCCCATGGTCACGGCCGGAACCAGTCCCATACCGACGCTGAACGTTGGATGTTGAAGCTTGAATCCAGGATTTCTTTTCCAATAAATTTAGCTTTTTGTTTTTGCTCTCCTTTTTTTTTTACCTAGCTCTCCTCTTCGGGGATAGGGCAGAACTGCAGGTATCTAAGACCGAGGTATCGATGAAAAGTCCATGTTGTTCAATCAGTGAGGGGTTCAGTTGGCCACAAATAAAAATGTAACAATGACCTTTGTCAACATTTAAGATAAAAATGATTAACAATATTCAATATGGAACAGCAAGAATTGCAAGAGGAAAAGGCGACGAGCTGGAAGTTGCCAACAACATCTTGCTGACCGCCTTGTGCACGTGTCAACGCGTCCAGTGACTTCATCAGCCTCGACACGACTCTCCTTATCGCATAGCTCTCTCCAGTCATCTCCATCTAATCTAGTCAATTTCTGACTCTGAATAACCATCATCAACCCTCCAACGGGGAGATGAGGGGCAGTCGACACCATGGGACAAGGCTACTCCCTCACAACCCTGTCCGCGGGGTCGGCGGGGATCGATGTGCCTGAATTATCGGACCTGGTGTATGAGAAGTCGATGGGGGGTGGCAGATTCATGAAAAGTATTCGCGCAAGGCAGCCAAATGGTCTGGTGTTCATCAAGGTTATCATGAAACCGTTCCCGACCATGGAACTGGAGCCATATATCAAAAACATCACGAGTATGTTTGGATGCTTTTTTATTATTTCAAGCTTCTAATGTCCATTACACTTCAGGGGAACGAAAGTTGTTATCGGACGTGCCAAATGCGCTAAGCTACCAGAGGATTCTTGAGACTGCCACGAGTGGATACCTTGTGCGCCAGTACATCCACAGCTCTCTCTATGATCGAATGAGGTATGTCTGTTGCCGCTGTTGTCAGCGAACGAAGCCTGATAAATATATAGCACACGGCCTTTTCTAGAGCATATTGAGAAAAAGTGGATTGCCTTCCAGCTACTGTGTGCTCTTAGAGATTGCCATTCACTAGACGTCTACCATGGTGATATCAAAACTGAAAATGTTTTGGTCACAGCCTGGAACTGGTTGTATCTTTCTGACTTCTCATCATCTTTTAAACCCACATTTCTCCCTGAGGATAACCCGGCAGATTTCTCTTTCTTTTTCGACATCTCCGGGAGACGCACCTGTTACTTAGCCCCCGAGCGGTTCTCTGTTGCCGGGGAAGAGCCCAGTGAAAGTGGCGTCAACTGGGCAATGGATATCTTCAGTGCTGGCTGCGTCATTGCGGAGCTCTTCCTTGAATCGCCGATCTTCAACCTGAGTCAAATGTACAAGTATCGCAAAGGGGAATACAGCCCAGAACACAGCCAACTAGCAAAAATCGACGATCCGGACATTCGAGAGTTGATCCTGCATATGATCCAACTTGAGCCAGAGTCTCGGTACTCAGCGGATGAATATCTGAATTTCTGGAAGGGCAAGGCCTTTCCGGAATACTTCTACAGTTTTCTCCACCAATACATGTCCCTCATGACCGATCCTTCTTCCGGGCGAACAGATGTGGATCCAGAATCAGCCAACCGAGGGGAGGCCGACGAACGGATTGAGCGAATTTACGTAGACTTCGATAAAGTATCTTACTTCCTCGGTTCCAACAACCGGGGCATTGGGGCTCTATCTAATGTCCCATTCTCCAAATTGACAGGCAACACTCTCCCTGTGAGGCTTGATCTACCAAATGGTGAAAGCCAAATTTCAGCACCGCAGTCACAGCCAGATGAGGGAGCTCTGATTTTCCTAACACTTGTGGTATCCAACTTGCGAAATACAGCCAAGGCATCGGCTCGGATCAAAGCCTGCGATATCCTTATTGCATTTGCGGAAAGGCTGTCTGATGAAGCTAAATTGGATCGCATTCTTCCGTACATCATGGTCTTATTGACTGATCGGACCGATGCTGTCAAGGTCGCCGCAATTCGCACCTTAACCCAATTACTGAAAATGGTCCAGGTAGTTTCTCCAGTCAATGCCTATCTATTTTCCGAATACATATTTCCAAGGCTCCAGCCATTCGTTGCTACCTCCAACAGCAAGTCAAGTGTCATGGTGCGTGCGGCATACGCCTCATGCATTGCGTCTTTGGCCCAGTCATCCTTGAGGTTTTTGGACATGATCCAGGCATTGCGTTCCGATACCCGTCTAGCTGCGTTGATCCCGGTGGGCTTTGAGCCCCGATGGACTGAGGATGCGACTTATCACAATCTCTATGACGTGGCTCGGGTCGATCTTCTGGAATACTTCGAGGTTCACACAAAGATGCTGTTGACAGACACGGATGCATCAGTTCGGCGGGCCTTTCTGGGCTCTGTGTCCAGCCTCTGTGTCTTTTTCGGCAATCTCAGAGCAAACGAGGTGGTCCTCAGCCATTTGAATACTTACTTGAACGATCCAGACTGGATTTTGAAATGTGCCTTTTTCGAGGCTGTCATTGGCGTCGCCACCTATGTGGGGAGCCTGAATCTCGAGCTATACATATTGCCGCTGATGGTTCAGTCCATGACTGAGCCCGAGGAATTCGTTGTTGAAAGGGTGATTCGATCTCTGGCAGCTATGGCTGACTTAGGCTTGTTTCAACGATCAACAACGTGGGATCTGCTAAATACCACTGTTGGATTTTTAGGGCATCCAAATATCTGGATTCGGGAGGCAGCAGTCAAGTTCGTGGTTAACTCCGCCAAGTTTTTATCAATCGCGGATGTTCATTCTATCCTGACCCCCATTATCCGGCCTTTCCTCAAAATCAAAATTGTTGTGTTTTCGGATACCCAAATGCTCGATGCACTCAAGCGGCCAATGTCGAGAAGTGTGTACGAAATGGCCTTCATCTGGGCGTCCAAATCAGATAAAGGTGTTTTCTGGAAGTCGCCAAGTCGCGATGGCATGTTCAGCTTGTCCGAGCCTGGATCATTCAGTCCTCGCGTGGGTCAACGGAATCCTTCCTTTACTATGGCTTCTCAATCAAAAAATGACGAGGACGAACAATGGCTTGGTCGGTTGCGAAACCATGGGATGGGCCCCGAGGACGAATTTAAGCTTCTTGCACTCAAAGACTACATTTGGAGGGTCTCATTGCGGCAATCGAGAGAAACCGATGTTCATTCAACTCCGCCCTTGAACGACATTGTCAGTTTGACACAACATGGAGTCAAGCCCCAGACCGTGTTCTTTGATAAGGAAATTAAAGATCAGTCGCGAGCAATTTCCTTGGACGTAAACGACGGCAACGTCGAAGATCCAAGACCGAGAACGATCGCAGATGCCTTGCTTGATGCTTCTACAACCATTGAGCGAATGCCCAGTGCTAAGCGCAAGCACTTGCGGTCGAAAAGCCAACTCTCGAAAGAGACGAGACGTACCTCGCATGTTCCTATCTTGGACGGAAATGACACTTCTTCATTGTCGTCGTCTCCAATGGCGTCATCACCGGCCGGGGGACCGTCGTCTCGTCCATTGTCCCCTCCGAACCTTGATAATGACCAAAGGCTTTCCAGTCGCCGACCGAGCCCTGGACAAGATGGCTCATTGCCATCAAATAACACAGACACCCGCAGTCTATCCGATCGTGTACATAAAAAGTCTAGCGCGATGAGTTTGTTGAGTCGCAAGGACACCGCCAAAGCCTACGCTGAAACAGGCACAAGCTCCGCGAACGCCTTTGGAAAGGTAGACGCACCGGTCCAAAGAGGAGGCACACCCCGACCATTGACACCATTGCTCTCAACCGAGCACAAAACAGCCCAAGTAATGGCGCAGAAATATCGTGCACACCATTCGTATGGGGGCAACGACCCAGCGGTTCTGCGACTGCTAGACAACGTCTTCGAGGAAAACTACCCTACGGACTTATTTGACCTAGGACCATATGTCAAAGAAGTCGACCCCCGCCAACCGATCCGCAGCGCCACTGATCAAGAGCCAAGTAAGATCTGGAAGCCCAAAGGGAATCTGGTCGCGACTTTTGGCGAACATAGTGCGCCAATCAATCGTGTCGTGGTAGCACCAGATCACTCCTTCTTTGCTACCGCATCCGATGATAGCACGGTGAAGATTTGGGATACAACTCGTCTTGAAAGGAACTTAACCCCTCGATCCCGTCAAACTTACCGTCATGCAATAGGCTCGCGTGTGAAAGCTTTGACCTTTGTTGAAAATACCTACACTTTTGTCAGCGCGGCCACCGATGGCAGCATTCATGCCGTTCGAGTCGACTACCAGAAAGTAAGTCAGACGGCCGCCCGATATGGCAAGCTTCAAATTGTTCGCGAATATCAGCTTCCCATAGCCGAAGACGGATCACCCGAATATGCGGTCTGGATGGAGCACTTCCGTGACGAAGGGCAGTCCACCTTGATTATTGCGACCAACACTTGTCGCATCATTGCGTTGGACATGAAAACTATGCTGCCGATCTACACCCTGGAAAATCCAGTTCACCATGGAACTCTAACTACATTCTGTTGCGACCGCAGACACCACTGGCTACTGGCCGGCACAACTCATGGGATCCTCGACCTGTGGGATCTCCGGTTCCGCGTGCGGTTGAAGGCATGGGGTCTTCCAGGCTGGGGTGCCATCAACCGGATCCAGCTACATCCCGTTAAGGCCCGTGGACGATGGGTTTGCGTATCTACTAGTGGCAGCCACGGCAATGAAATCACGGTGTGGGATATTGAGAAGTTCCGCTGTCGCGAGGTTTACCGAGCGACCCCACTGGGCGTTGGCAACAATGGCCCCAATGGCACTCATCATGGTTCCCGCGCCCCTCACGCCTACCCGACCCCTGTTGTGCCGAGTGATTACGAAGCGTGGCGGGTCGATGGCGACAGGCCAGAAGGGATGCTGAGTCGCTTTGCAACAAACGGCCCGGAACCGGGTACCCCATCTTC